TATTATTATTATTTATAAGGAGCAAACGTTAAACAATGTAATAGGGGAAAAAAAGACCCTAGATTCAAATATATTCACCAGAGACACTTTTATTAAGCCTTTGACAGCATCAAAATAAAGACAATTATCCAAGATGAGGGAAATCATCAGCACATACACAGAAAGCTATGGAGTCCACTGATTCTTGGCCAAAGGGCTAATTATATATGATTGCAAACTAAGGAAATCAACATAAAATCATGATTAGGAGGCAGATCAATGCACTGTTGAAGGTGGGACTACACAAGCAGGGAAAGGACTGTGATTGGGATAAGCACATAATTGAAAATTTAAAAAGGTTTACAGGATTGGTTCTGGGGCTGAACCACGTGGCTATGTGGTGCTCAGAGTATACTCATGACATGTGGTCTGACTCCCAGCCACAAGGTGGCTACAAGACAATACCAGGACCCCCAAATCTAATGGAATTTAGAAGAGGAAACAGGCAATTTCCTTAAGTCTTTTTGTGAGCATAACCTAATTTCAACCACACTCTTCCTGAGGGCAAACTGCCCCTCTATAGGGTTTGTCCTGAACCTTATTTATACATAGTCACAATGTTGGTTTAAAGGTCAGAAATGGCATCTTAACTCATGTTAAGACTCAAAATGGAGTTTGGGCTCCCACTGTAGTCCATAGCCTTCCACAACTCAAAACCAAACCAAACCAAACTCACTGTCGTCGAGTCGGATCCGACTCATAGCGACCCCTCCTTGGGTTTCCGAGGCAGTATCACTACAGAAGTAGATTGGCCAACCTTCCTTCTGAGAAGTGGCTGATGAATATGAACAGCCAGCCTTCTGGTTAGCAGTCAAATGCCTTAGGCACTACGCCTCCACAACTCAAGTGGCCCAGAATTTAAGCTATACAACAATGTAAAAGATTCCCAAAGGGAAAATCCTTACCCTTCTGCAAATTACCCATGTTCATTCTTGTGTTGCTGGGCAGGCATGCTGTGGTGCAGGTCTGATGCTGTATTCATGTCACTGCTGCTTCTAGCTACCACCAGCTGCCTGAGACTTCTTTTCTGTCTCTGGGCCTCAGTGGGCCTTGCTACCAGCTGGAAGACTCCTACACAGGATATCTCTAGTCTCTGCCACTGGGCCCTTCTAAGCCTCTGCATCTGGTACTCACCATACTACTCAGGTTTGTGGAGTCTCTTGCTGCCATTCTACATGGGCCCCGGCTGCCCATTATCGAGGGAGATGTGCAACCCCTGTCATGGCACACTAGGGCCACTCTCCCTCTCTCTCGTGCTGCACAAGCACTACAACTCTTTTAGCTCTGCTGGCAAGCCTCCTGCCCAAAGGTGCTTAGATCTTTCTTCATGGGCCATGTAGGCTCATCACTGCTATCTCTCATCATCTTCTGCATTCACTCTTTGTTCTGGGTCTAGGAAGGACTCAGTGCAAAGACCCCAGGTCCTAGGTTCAAAGGTGGCACTCTACTCCAGACTCTTCTTGATGGTAATGAGGTACCCCTGAACCTTGATGGGATTAGCCTTTTTAAGCGGAGCCAAAAAAACCCAAACTCACTGCCATCAAGTCAGATCCAACTCATAGCAACCCCTCCTTGGGTTTCACTATGGAAGTAGATTGCCCAACTTTCTTTCTGAGGAGTGGCTGGTGGGTTTGAACCACCAGTCTTCTGGTTAGCAGTCAAATGCCTTAGGCACGACACAACCAGAGCAAAACTGACCAATTCCTTTGGTGGATGACAGTCACCCTATTTGCATAGTCATAGTAAACTGTCCAATCCTTGCAAGGGTTTCACCAGCCTTATTTGCATAGCTCTAGGCAATCATTTTGTGGAGGTTTCAAGACAATGGCTAGAAAGGCCACAGAAAAGTAATTCACTGCACCAACCTTCTTCCCAGAGTTGCTGGGAGGAGCAGATGAGATAAAACATGTGTGAATTGCAGAGAGCCACTTACTTGTGAGCTGCTGTTGCCCCCTAAGCAACTGTGATTTCTCTGATACTCAAACTCTGCAGGGTGACCATATTTACCCATATTTGCCTGAGACAGTCCCAGTTTACTCCTCTCTTCATGGCATATTTTTAATAGGAACTTTTTCATGCTCCAAAGTACCCAGGTACAGGCAATACATTCTATTGTCATACTATTTATACCTCTGTCACTCTAACCAGTTGATCGCTTCTTCCAAGTGAGGACAGGGGCTTTGTCTCACTTTCTGGTGTCCCAAATGAACACAGAACACTGAGCTGAATTAAAACCACGTTTGTCTGATTAAGAACACTGGGGGCAGTCCTGAGAATAAGATAGTATTCATAGTTATTCAGTGAAGCTTGTCCTTCCTGCAGTGTAACCTTGGCAGTGTGCTTACTCTAGGCTTCAGCTTAACAATGGCAACCTGACTTAGGTCCATAAAGCTAGCATGTGTCTTCTATTTTACAAAGATCCCTGCTGGTACAGTGGTTAAAGCAGCTCAGCTGCTACTAATGAAGTCAGTGGAAAAATCTATGTATTTAACAGGATTATTGTAATCATTTAGAAACTCATTAAAACAAAAAGTAAAAATCACCTGTAACCCTATTATCCAGATATAACCAGTCTTAATATTTTAGTTTTCTTCTTTCCAGACTTTTTCTAACCCATTTCACACTGTATGTGTGGTAGACTCTTGTTAGAGAGTTTCATTTTTGCTTTGACTGCTAACCAGAAGGCTGGCAGTTCAAACTCACCAGGGAAGGAAGATGGGGCAATCTACTTCCATAGAGATACAGCCTCAAAAACCCAAGGAGGGGTCGCTATGAGTCGGAATCGACTCGATGGTGGTGAGTTTGGGTTTATATATATAATAATAATAATGGCTTTTACTTAGTCAAAGCCACCAAAGGAGCTTGTGGCTCATTGTGTAAGGCATTTGGCTGCTAACCAGAAAGTCAACTGTTCAAACCCGTCAGCTGCTTTGTGGGAGGAAGATGAGGCAATCTACTTCCATAAAGATTTATAGCCTTGGAAACCCAATGGGGTCACTATGAGTGGGAATTGATTCAATGGCAGTGGGTTTGGTTTAGGTTTTTTGCTTAGCCAACACTGTGTGTCTCATGTGTTCATCTGAATCACAGATGAACGTAGCATATATATTTGATATGACAAAGGTTAGGAAAAATCTAATATATATGTACCTCCAATCTTTTTGTTAGCAGCCAGGCATTTAAATATTGCATCATCTGGTCTCTCTCTCTCTTCCTCTCACTCTCTCTCTCACACTTTACACACACACACACACACACACGCACGCACGCGTGCTCAAAGACAGGTATAATATCTTTCTTCCTTCCTTTCTCCTTCCTTCCTTCTCTATATCCCATCTTGCTTTTCTTCCTGCATTCTTTTAACAAAATTGAGTAATATTATTTATCATATTTTCTAACTTACTTTGTCCATTAATAATATATTTGGGACATGTTTCCATGATAAAAATATATGTTCACATTTTTAATGGCTACACTGTGTTTTATATATGTTGTTGTTATGTGCCATAGAGTCAGACCCGACTCACAGTGTTCTGGTTACCTAGTGCCACTCTGACAGAAATATACCACAAATGAGATGGCCTTAACAAACAGGAGTTTATTCTTACAATTTGGAGGCTTTAAGTCCAACTTCAAAGTGCCAGGCTCTAAGGGCTGGGTGAAAGCCCCTCAACCTCGGAGTCCAGCTCTGCCTCCTGCTCCTGGCCCACTGGAGCTAGAGGTGTTTCTTCACTCAGACAGTTGCTAGCTGCTGAGACTGAGACACCCCAAGGTTGACAAGTAAAAAGGCACAGTCCTGATGTTACCAAACCACAAGGCAGGCCGTTAACTTAAGTCCATCGTAAGTCCCAAGGTCAGCAGACCGTAGCAGGCTGCTGAGCAACGACATGGCTACATGCAAGGTCCAAGCATGCCATAGGCTAGATACCATTCTCAAAGCTTCTCCTTATATACAGGAAGCAGAACACATCCCGAAGGCAGTTACTCAGCTGCTTGTGTTAGATCCCACCATGGAGTTGATTGCCAGTGTCATCATAGGGAATAACTACCACCAGCTGCCCAGCTGCTGAACTAGGCCCAGCCAAATTGACACACAAACATAACTACCACACATAGCGACCCCTCTTTGAGTTTCTGAGATGGTATCACTACGGAAGTAGATTGCCCAACCTTCCTTCCGAGGAATGGTTATAGTATACCATACTTCATTTAGCTAGTTTCCTGCTGATATTTAGTTCCATTAGAAATTTTTGCTATTAGACACAATATTGTGTAGTTGTCTAATGTTACTATTATACACAATGTTTTGTTATTAGACATGTACATTTTTCTGCTATTTGACAATAGATTAAAATGAACTACTATATATATATATATATATATATATATATATTTACATTTATCTAAATTATTTCCTTAGGATACATTTTTAGAATCGGATTTTTTAGTTAAAAATTATGCTCAATTTTAAGTACCTTTGTGTCCTATTACTACTCTAAATCTAATGCAAGGAGCAAGCGAGAAGGTATACGTTCATGGCTTTTTATCCTCAAGTATGCCTGCAGAGTGATAGGTTTTCAAGTAAAAAGGCTATGAAATCTTGGAAAGAAATTGCTTGATAAATATTTCATACTGCTTTCCCTTGTTCAGCTTCTTGTCTCCTGGGATTAAAGATGAGAAATGGAATGACTTGCAGGTTCTTTTTCTCTGTCTAAAGGGTTTCTGCTTCCCCCCATTGGAAATGGCTATACAGAATCATGGTTGGTATTTAGGATCCTATGTTAGGAAGGTGGATCTATTAGGGCCTCTGTTTTTTCAGATGTGGCAGTTTGTCAGTTTCAGGAACATCGTTTACTCATCTTAGCCTGTTTTGTCACAGTTATGACACAAGTTTTTTTGTTTGCTTGTTTTGTTTTTCTTTAATGAGAAGATGGTTTCTTCCCTTCTCTTAGGCTGAAGAAATGTCAACAGATAGAAGTTTTGACAATTTCCAGCCTGTGTCTCTGAAGCAAGAGGGAGATGACGAGCCCTCTGAGACTGATCACCTGTCCACAGAAGAGGGTGACCTAGGCAAGAACTCAGCAACAGGGCAGATTTCAAGACAACCAAGTGTGACTGAAACAACATTCTACCCCAATCCTTACCACAGGTCTTACATGTCACGGAAATACTTTGTTACACGGGTAAAGTAGCCTTTGAGTTTTGTTTTGAAAATATCTGCTGTGTGTGTATGTGTATGCAAATGTGTATGGCTGTGTTGGAGCATTGGATTAAGTGGTAATAATGAAAGCTAACATTTATCAATAAGTGCCAGGCACTGTGCCAAATTCTTTATATAAATTAATTTATTTAATCTTCCCAGAAACCTTAGCAGTTTCATTACTTTCTAGAAGGACTGAAATTGAGAGGTTTAATAACTTACCTGAGGTTACACAATTAGTGATGGAACCAGGACTCATCACCAGACCTGTCTTAATCCAAAGTTTCTGCTCTTCAATACTATATAACATTTCTTTTTAAAAAATCCTAATATCTTTTTTTAAAAAATATCCTAACCTGCAACTACCAAAGCCAAAACAAAGAAACTGAAAACTTTTACCAACTTCTGCAGTCTGAACTTGACCAAACATGCAGTCAAGATGTATTGATAATTATTGGTGATTGGAATGGAAAAGCTGCAAGAATCATTGGTAGTTGGAAAATATGGCCTTGGTGATGGAAATGATGATGGAGCTCGCATGATAGGATTTTGCAAGACCGATGATTTATTCATTGCAAATACCTTTTTTCAACAACATAAACAGTGGCTATACACATGGACCTCTCCAGATGGAATACACAGGAATAAGATCAATTACATCTGTGGGAAAAGGTGATGGAGAAGCCCAATATCGTCAGCCAAACAAGACCAAGAGCTGACTATAGAACAGACCATCAGTTGCTCATATGCAAGTTCAAGATGAAGCTGAAGACAATTCAAACAAGTCCAGGAGATCCAAAATGTGACCTTGATTATATCCCACCTGAATTTAGATACCATCTGAAAAATAAGTTTGATGCATTGAACACCAATGACCAAAAACCAGATGAATTGTGGGATGACATCAAGAACATCATACATGAAGAAAGCAAATTGTCATTAAAAAGACAAGAAAAAGGTCTCACTATGTGCCATCCACCTCCTTCTTCCTTTTCCTCCTAAAAAAGTTCGAGGTCGTGTACCAAACTGGTTGCACCATGGCTGCTCACCTGGAACCACAGTTCCAGAAGCTGCAGCAATGGCTCAACCTGTGGTGCCTTTTTGACTCTGACAAGGAGCGCTTCAAGGGTTTCAGTTTGACCCTTAACACCAACCATGGACAGATTCTGCTTGATTACTCAAAGAACTTTGTGACAGAGGATACGATGCCAATGCTGATGGACATGGCCAAATCCAGGGATATGGAGACCACCCAGGAGCACGTTTTTAATGGCAAGAATATAAACTTCACCAAGGACTGGGCAATATTATATCTGGCTTTGTGGAACTGATCAAACACAGCCGTTCTGGTGGATGGCAAGGATTTGATGCTAGAAGTCTTTCTGCCAGTGTGTCCAAGGTGGTAACTGGAAGAGTTACACAGGCAAGACCATTACAGACATCATCAACATTGATGTAGGTAGCTCTGACCTGGTACCCCTCAGAGTGACTGGAGCCCTTAAGCCATACTCTTCTGGTAGTCACCATGTCTGGTTTGTTTCCAACATTGATGGGACCCACATTGCCAAAACCTTGGCCTCCCTGAACCCTGAGTCCTCCTTGTTCATCATTGCCTCCAAGACTTTCACACCTAGGAGAATGCAGAGATGGCAAAGGAGTGGTACCTCATGTCAGCGGAGGCTCCTTCAGTGATTGTGAAGCACTTTGTTGCTCTGTCTACCAACATGATAAAAATGAATGAGTTTAGAATTGACTTTCAAAACATATTTGAGTTCTGGGATTGGGTAGGAGAACCATGCTAGCTGTGGTCAGCCATCAGACTCTCCATTGCCCTGCATGAGGGTTTTAACAACTTTGAGCAGCTGCTCTCAGGGACTCACTGGATGAACCAGCACCTCCATACTTCACCCCTAGAAAGGAACACCCATGTCTGCTGGCTCTATTGGGTGTCTGGTGCATCAACTTCTTTGGGCGCCAGCCATAAGCCATGCTGCCCTACTGACCAGTGCTTGCACGACTTTGCTGCCTTTGCAGGGTGGCATGGAGTCTAATGGGAAATACATCACCACATCTGGCACCCGTGTGTACCACCAGACAGGATCCATCTTGTAGGGGAAGCCAGGGACCAGTGGCCAGCACGCCTTCTACCAGCTTATCCACCAAGGCACCAGGATGTACCCTATGACTTCCTTATCCCAGTTCAGGTCCAGCACCCTATACAAAAGGGGTTGCTTCATAAAATCCTTCTGGCCAACTTTTTATCCCACACTGAGGCCTTGATGAAGGGAAAACAGTAGAAAAAGCCTGGAAGAAGCTTCAGGCTGCAGGAAAGAGTGTGGAGGACTTTGAGCAGCTGTTGCCACATAAGGCCTTTGAAGGAAATTGCCCAACAAATTCCATTGTGTTTACCAAGCTCACACCATTCCTGGAGCCTTGATTGCTATGATAAGCACAAGATCTTCATGCAGAACATCATCTGGGACACCAATAACTTTGAATAATGGGGAACGGAGTTGGGGAAACATCTGGCTAAGAAAATTGAGCCTGAGCTTGATGGCAGCACCCCCAGTGACCTCCCATTGTTCTTCCACCAATGGGCTGATCATCTTTATCAGGCATCAGCAAGCATGAGGAAAGAAGCCAATAAACTCATGCTCAGCAGCAACCCATGTTGTGACTGGTCTTTCTTAACCCTGCTGTCAGAGTCTGCACTTCATGGTTCTGCCTCACCCTGTCTGGAGCACCCTCAGGTGGTGGGTTTGCACCATAAGTTCCTTTGGGGAAGCTGGTCTGGAATTTCCACACACCTCTCTCTCCATGCCCACCAGCCCTCTGTTTTGCAATTGACTGGAGTGTTTCAATGTAATTGATTTTTCTGACACATTGTTTACATCCCAGGTAGAAAAATAAAAATACCACAAAGGAAAAGAAAAAAAAAAGACAGGAAAGGAAGAAAAGACCAAAATAGATGTCAGAAGAGACTCTGAAACTTGCTCTTGGATTGGAGTACTCTTGTTTATGCCAACAAATTTGGAAGATAACTACCTGACCAGGTGACTGGAAGAGATACGTATTTGTGCCCATTCCAAAGTAAAGTGATCCCATAGAATGTGGAAATTATCAAACAATATCATTAATACCAAAAGCAAGTAAAATCTTGCTGAAGCTAATTCATAAAGAGTTGCAACAGTATATTGACAGGGATCTTCCAAAAATGCAAGTTGGATTCAGAAGAGGACGTGGAACAAGGGATATCATTGCTGATGTCAGATAGATCTTAGCTGAAAGCAAAGAATACTAGAAAGATGTCTGCCTGTGTTTTATTGACTATGCAAAGACATGTGACTGTATGTATCATAACAAATTATGGATAATATGAAGAATAAGAATTCCAGAACACTTACATGTACTCACAAGACACTGGTACTTAGAGCAAAAGTCATTCGAACAGAACAAGGGGATACTGCATGGTTGAAAATCAGGAAGGGTGTGCATCAAGGTTGTATGCTTTCACCATACTTATTCAATGTGCATGCTGAGCAAATAATCAGAGAATATGGACTATATGAAGAATAACAGCATCAGGATTGAGGGAGAAACCATTAACAACCTGTGAAATGTAGATGACACAACCTTGCTTTCTGAAAGTGAAGATGACTTGAAGCATTTACTAATGAAGATCATAGACTACTTTCTTTGGTAAGAATTATACCACAACATAAAGAAAATGAAAATCCTCACAATTGTACCAATAAGCAACATTATAATGAACAGTGAAAAGACTGAAGTTGCCAGTGATTTCATTTTACTTGACTTCACTGTCAACACCCATGGAAGCAGGAGCCAGGAAGTCAGATGCCATATTGCACTGGGCCAATCTGCTGCAAAAGACCTCTTTAAAGTATTAAGAAGCAAAGATGTCACTTTGTAGACTAAGGTGGGCCTGACAAAAGCCATATGTAGTGCCTAAGGCACTTGACTTCTAACCAGAAGGCTAGCAGTTCAAAGCCACTAGCCACTCCTCAGAAGAAAGAATGGGCAATCTACTTCTGTAGAGATACCACTTTGGAAACCCAAGGAGGGGTTGCTATGAGTTAGAATTGACTGGTGGCAGTGAGTTTGGTTTTTTGGTTTGTTTTTCATATGTATATAAAAGCTGGACAATGGATAAAGAAGACTGAAGAAAAGATATTGCCTTTGAATTGAGGTATTGGTCAAGAACACTGAAAATATCATAGACTGCCAGAAAAATTAATAAATCTATCCTGGAAGAAGTGCAGCCAGAATGCTCCTTGGATGCAAGAATGCCCAGCCTTTGTCTCACCTGCTTTGGCTGTGTTGTAGGAAGAGACCATTCCCTGGAGACGGATATCATGCTTGGTAAAGTAGAGGGTCAGCGAAGAAGGGGAAGACCTTCAATGAGATGGACTGACACAGTGGCTATAACTATGGGCTCAAGCATAGCAAGGATTGTGAGGCTGGTGCAGGACTGTGCAGTGTTTTCCTGTGTTGTGCATAAGGTCAGAGCTATGAGTCAGAGCTGACTTGACAGCACATAACAACAACATCAATATCCTTGTCTTACACTCCACTGAGTATTTTCCCACTTACTGTCTCATATAGTATTCACAATAATCCTGTAAAGTAGATATTCCCATTTCATGAATGAAGGATCTGAATTTCAGAGAAGTGAAGGGGTCTATTTCTGAGCACACAGATAATATCAAGGAGAAGCAGGTCCTCCAGCCCTTCTGGATCTTCAAATTCTTGGTCAATATTCATGCTAAGACTGCCCTTAAAGAACCACTGTTCTATGGAGAGGGGGACAGGAGCTAGAATATAAAGATGTGAACCAACCCATGTAGGGTACTGGTTGTACATTTAGAAAAGACATGGGGTGTTGGAGTGGAAAGTGTTGCTGACAATGTACTCAGCTACTTGGGTATACATTGAAAGGCTGCTATTACAATATGAGCGTAGGGA